AAAATCCCCATTCCCCCATGTTTCAACATTGCGCTGCACACAGACAAGACATCCAGCTACTGCAACACCGATCTTTGCAACTCGGCTTCACACCAGATGTGTCACGGCCCGGACTCGGATTTGGCCACCGCTGTGCCTGTCGTGGCACTGCCAACACTTGCCTTGCGGGCCCCAGAGTCCTTTGGCAATCCATCACCTGCGCCCTCCTGTGCACTCCTCTCCAAGAAATTTGCCCACAACTCCGCAAGAGACTCCTTGTCTTTGGCTGACGTGGGTTCCGAAAAGACATCGGCGCTGAGCGAAGGCGAACTGGGTGTTCTGTGGAAAGGGGATGTAGGCAGCCGCAAGCTGCCAACTGAGCCGCCGGGACGAGCGAGGCCTGCTTGCTCGCGCTGCTCGTCGGTCCAGTTCAAATAACCGGCCATCACCTGCAGGACTTGGAAGCGCTTGGCGTCGCCGCGGTCGAGGGTGAGGAAGTGCAGGAGGTGGTTTGTTACGACTTGTCTGCAAATAAAAGGTTAGTGACAGTATCTCATAACGGAGATTGTAATGCGCAGGAGGGAGCGCAACGCACCTGTCGACATTGTCTTCTGGCTTCGTCTTCTTCAGATATCGCAGCGCCTTTGTCAAGTGATCGTTCAGTACAATAGCCTCATGTCTCAACTTGCCAATCAGCAAGTTCTTCTCCCTGACCTCCTTCTCAAATGGCGCCGTTCGCTCAAGTTCCTTGGACATTTCGTCTTTGGCCGCCTCAGCTTCTATGGCCCGCGCCTCGGCCTGTTGGGCCACTTGTTTCTGCGCTTGCAGCTGTGACTCTGTCGTCTCAACCATATCCCGCAGCTCCTTCTTGCGGGTGTCTTGGATCTCTCGCAGCGCATTTTGCAGGTTATCCACGAGAGTGGATTGGCTATCGCGGTCCGCGGCAGCAGCCTCGTAGTTTTTCTTCAGCGTCTGGATTTGCTCCTCAAGATCACCGACTTTATCCGCTAGGTTCTCTTTAATAGAGCGTTCTTCCATGGCCAATACTTCCCATTCGCCCATGGCATTTGCTGTCGTCTCCATCTCCTCCTTGAGATGCTGCACTGTCCTGGTCAGCTCTTCCTTCTCCTTGTGCCAATTGTGAGCTGAGAGATTGTTACGGCTCCGCAGCGAGGACAGCTCTCTATTGGCGTCTTGGAGTTCCTGCCTGAGTTTCTCGACATCTTCGCCCGTGGACAGTGCCGAACCCTGCAGCTGCTCGTTTTGCGCCTCTAGCTCTTCTATTCGCTCCCTGGCTTCTTGTAGCTCGGCCTTGTCGCGTTTTAGTCTGCCGCTGAGCGATTCTTTGATCTTCTCAACTCGGTCGAGAAGGGTCTGGTACTGCTCTTCGGCGTGCTCCTTGGCCGAGTTGCTCTCTTCTAGGTCCGTTTTGAGTTGCGAGACTTCCTGCTGGTGCGTTTCCTGAATGCTCTCCAACTGTTTGCGAAGCTGTTCCACCTCGGCCCTGAGCGCCTCCCGTTCTTTCCCCATTGCCTCGAGTTTCGCAGTCGGGTCTGAGTCGGCAGTCCCGTCGGTGGCCTTGGATGGTTCTACGGCGTGCCCATTACCGTCCGGCTTTAGCTTGTTCGTGCTCTCTGAAGTGTCCTGAAGGCCTCGTTAGTAAGCATGACATGCCGATCTTTGCATCTCGCACACTCGATATGATAGAATGCGGCATCTGCTACGTACAAAGTCGTCGTCGTCTCCATCGTTGTCATTTTGTGTGTCCTCGTGAGTCGCATCGCCGTTACTTAGAGGCGTAGTATCCTTGTTCTTGTTGGCATTCTTCTTCTTTCTGTTGTTCTTCTTCTTGGAAGCTGTAGACCTCGCGGTAGTGGTTAGAACACGGTTGGCGATTGACGGAGGCCCAAGAGGACAGGTTACAAACCTGAATTGGTGGCTTGGGTGGGCTCACCAGCAGCTGTTGACGACATTGTAGCCGCAAGGCGCAGCAGTGAAGCGGCCCGTTTGTGCGTGCTGGTGTATTGAGCCCACGAGTCGTGGTGACGAGGGCAATGTCGGGTCGAGTCCGGCGTCTCAGTTGTCGATTGACATGACGAGGCGCAACATTGAAACGCACTCTGAACCTTACAGAGGCAACACGTTGGCGTTGAAGAAACAATAGCGGGTATGGAATGTGGCATTAGCGGGTCGCGGGGGCTTCCGCCAGTCAACTTCAAGCCAGTTAGTGGCCGGCCAATTGGTTTTGCGCACAGGAAAGTCGCTAAAACCCCCGTGCCCTGTGCTGCCATGTTCCAGCTTAACAGATGAAGCAAGGACAACGACGGACACGACCATCTAAAAGAAGGACAAAAAGAAATCCGAAATAAACGTTTTAAAATAGTATATGAAGCAAAGATCGTTACAAATTATGTCAATGCCAAACGATGCATCTCGATTCCAACAGACGCATCGTATTCAAGCTCGTCATCTGCCTTCTTATACGAGACGCACGCCAAGCCACGCCTCAAACCCATGTCATGCACCAACACTTGCGTAATAAGCGCACAGGACGAGCCCGGTTCGTCTGCAGGTGTGTCTAATAGCCATTGGCGACTAGCTCAGCCCATATAAACGCATCCGTTCTAATAGGATTCACCATTTACTCTTATGTCAGGACCCGTCATCTGACGCCTACATTATCTTGCCGTTCTTTTTATCTACCTTGGTTGTTTCAGGCATTAGCGCCAGACACAATACTTGAAATCTGCTTAGTCACCTACATCGTGGGGCTATGGCTAGTATTTACGTTTCTCTGAACCTGGTGGACCTTTAAATTTCTTTTTTCCTCTTGATCTTACAATCATCTTCGCCATCACACTAATGAACAAGACCATATGCCTGTGGCTTTTTCACAATCTTGTGCGAAGTAGATCGTCTCGCCTTTCATAATCCCATTGCTTGCTCGACTTCCCCCTTTTCTGCGAAATGCGGGTAGCGTCCTTGTGAGTGCCGTGGGTTCGCTTATGTGCGTACATCTCGCCGTCCACGACTATTCGTAAGTCTCATGGTGAACACCGTGCTGCCTACACCTGTAGAGGAACAAAACCCAGTCAGACATGTGTCACATAAGGGTTTGGCCGGTTGAATTTGATCAAACGAATTGAGCTCAATAACAGGACTTAGGTGGCCCAGACGTAAAATTTAGGACATTACTACCTGATGCGCCGTTGCCAAAACGTAAAATATCCACATCACAAGATTTTATAAACTCTTCAATCAAGCCTTGACCTTCTTTGCCTTGCCTTTAGTACCCTTGCCGGCCTTGGCTTTGGGTGCCGGTATCGACTCAGGTTCGGCAGCAGATCCTTGGGCTTTGGACGTCGTTGTCGCCTTGGTCTCTTCTTGGGCAGGTTCCTCCGCAGAAGCAGCTTCTATAGTCTTGGGTTCCTCCACATTGTTTTCTGCGGCTTGCGGAGGCGGTACGTCCTTGAGATCTGGAGCGTCGAACTCGTATCCCATGTTCTTAAACTTGGCAGCTTTCTTGGCTCGCTTACCCTTCTCCTTGTACACTTTGGTCTTCCAAGCAGACTCAGCCAGTGGCTTCTGCAGACTCAAGCCGGCCATCTTGTTCCACGGGACCTTTTTGAACCGTCTGTTGGCTCCCTTGAACAAATCGTCGTGGACTTGTGCCTTCGGGATCGTCCTGCACTTGAGAATGTGCCCAAATAGCAGGTAGTTGTCCATAGTCTTGGCAACAATCTCAGCAGTGGTCGCTTCCTCAAACTCGACAAAGGCAAAGTGCTTGCTGGCGCCAGTCTTCTTGTTTCTCGATAAGCGAAGGCGGGTGACAGGCCCGAACTGGGAGAGGTATTGTCTCATTTCGTGCTCGTAGAAACCGTGGGGGATTCGGCCGATGTACAGAACGCCCGGCTCACCAGTAGCCTTCTTGGCTGCCTTGGCAAGCTCCTTGGTAACAGACGGAATCTTGCCGACGTCTTGGCCGGGTTTGAAGGACAGGGTCTTGTCGACAGGTGCTTCGTCACCCGAGTCGATCTCGGCAGCCAGAGTCTTCACATTCTCATTGTCCTCGCCGTCTGAGTCATCAGAGCCATCCATCTCCAAGACATCATCCTCTTCCTCAACCTCCTTTGCCGCCTTTTCAGGTTTGGGTTCTTTTGGTGATTTCGCAACAGGCTTTTCAGGTGCTGCAGCCTCTTTAGAAGGCTTCTGCTTCTTTAATGAAGCTGGAGAGGCATCCTCGGCGGCTGCGATGGTTAGCTCATTGATAATATGAATGAAGGATGCTGAGTGTCGGATTACCTTTTCTCTTGCCCTTGGGAGTAGGCTTGTCTGACGTCTTGGTGGCGACGCCGTTGCTCTTCTGAACTTCGGAAACAGCTGTATACAGTCAATTAGCAGCGGTAGCTCGACGTGTTCACTTATGCAAAACGTACATTTTCTCTTTCTGAGTTCTGGAGCCATTGCGACGACCTGGACTGTACAGCCTGGTTGGTGAGTTCTGGCAGGCGTTGAGTGATCGACGTGGGCTGGAAAAAAAAATAAGATTCTGCCAGTTTTGCGAAGCGGTGAAGGCGCACTATCAGTCTATCAGTGCAGGTGGTGGTGGGGGGCTTCTCACTGCCTACAGGTCGCCCGTAGTTGGGCCTGGCTGGTTCAAGTCCGGTCATGTCAAGTGCTGGTCTGGTTGTTCCTTCCAATCAACATTTGGAAACGTTGACGGTATTGCTGCTGCATCAGACTGAGCCCGTACCGGATGCTCTCATTGATATATCAGCACTTGGCCCATTCGAGCTCAACCACTTGACTTTGTGCAGCTATATACAGCACTGAACAGCCTTGGATGCACACCATCGACCGAGTCTAGTGAGATCAATACTAACCGAGCTAAGCAGTACATATGTACGTATTTCCTACTACATTTAGTGCAAAGCTCAGTCTTGGCTGCCTGGTCACCAAAGACCAAAATATCTGACAAACTCAGAAAACGCGTCCTCGCCCAATACTATTATGCTTGCATAATGGGCGTAGAGCAGGTTGAGCTTAGTCATGAGGAGGTATGGGATGACTCTGCGCTCATAGACTCGTGGAACGAGGCTTTGGCAGAGTATAAGGTATGAATTCTATTTCCTCTTCAAATTACAGCCAACCACTAATATCAGCTGTGCTCAGAAATACCACAGTGTACACGCAAAGGGAGGAAGCGTTAAAGACCTAGAATCCAAAATCTCCCAGTAAGTGAATAGATGAACGGAACCAGCCTACGGTACCTCTATCATCACCGCATCAACTGATATTTGTGGTAGGCGCGCTCCAGAATCTGAATCAAACAAACGAGCCAACAGTTCCGAACCTGTCTCTTCTGCCGGCAACGAAGATCCGGATGCCATTGTAAGGGCCTTGAACTACGGGTATGACGGCGTCAATCCTGGGCGATTCGTTGTGCACCGTTGGATAGTTTCTTGTTTCATCCAAGGCTGCTGACGACAAGACAGATCTCAAGATCCGACCAAGCCCAGTCATCACAAAAAGATGCAACGGCAGCTGCTTCGGCTGCGCCGCCGCCGCAAGCTCTCCTTGGCTCAAGTAAGTCGGCGGCCGCTCGTAGGGCCATCAAGTTTACCTTGGATGTGACACGGGATTCGGACGATCTGTGCTAACTTAATCTCTTCCCGCGAAAATAGTACGAGATGACAATCTGAAGAGGCTGCTCATGTCGTGGTATTACGCAGGATATTACACCGGGCTCTTTGAAGGGCAACAGCAGGCCCAACAAGAGGAGCAAAAACCACGGCCCTGACCCCATCCACGGTAATGGCAGTAATAGACGTAATTATTATCAGAAAACCCGAGAAGAGGCTGGGCAGGCCAAGGAGGGCGGGTGTCGCACAGTGGAGTTCTTGCGACGACAGCCGTTCCAAACCCTGGCGGCTGGAACATGTTCGCTGCAACTCCCGTTGCCCCGCGCGTCAGAACTAGACCGAGTTACCAATCGTAAGATTCCAGCGGCTGTTGTGTCGCGGTGACTTTGAAACTCGACAAAAGTTGAAGATTTGGGATGAAATTTGAAGGCAAGGTTGTGGTAGATTGCCAACGGGTTGACTTGTTTGACGCGAACATGCCCAACATTGTAAGGATTGGGAGATATTGGCAAATCAAAGGCATCTTCCGGCTGTTGCGATCCAAGTTGTCGTAAAACGCAGTTTTGCGTTTGATGTTGGGTATGTTTTATTTGATAGCCTGAGTTGAAAACAAAAGTGATTTATTGGGCAAAGGAAACTGGATTGGGTGGGAGTTGATGCAGAGTCTGTCTGCTTACGTCTGATGCACAGAATCTAAATAAAGGACCTCCGAAGAGTGGAAATGGAATTAAAATCACAACCATGTAATGCCCGAGGAAATATTCCTGAGGAAATATAGCAAACCACCTGTTCGTCCAGTTAGTCAATAGTCGGTTCCGTTGTTTCACGACATGAGCACAGCCCATTCTTGCTTGGCTGCGTTGCCTGCTGGGCTTCCGAGTTGCGCAATATCTTACTTGGCAACAATGGCAAAACACCTAGTCGTATTTGTCCCTAGGGTTAATGGCGATCATCAACTAATGTTCTAAAATGGGCTGCTTAGTCCGTCGTTGTATCCAGTGGCGCTGACGAGTATGGGCACCTGATGATGGCAAGCATCCGCCCAGGAGCGAGTATCCGTTTCATCACCACGTTGGCGGTTTGAGGCTGAGGACGGGGCTGGACAGCCAAACAGGACGATGCAGCTTTCGAACAATGGCATCACAGCAATGAAAAGCTAGTATTGCGGATTAATTGGCGGGGTCTGCTAGGCAGGACGGTGTAAGTACTTGTTGCCTCGCTGCATCTATGCGGCCTGAAGGCGTTGGAAGTGAATACGCGGGATACGTGCGTTGACATATCGGGCAGAAAGGCTAGCAAATACCTAGGGAACCTTGAATACCCTAAGAAACTGCAACCAACTATTGGACCAAAGACTTGGCATTCCGCCCCGGCTGGTTGACAGCAGAGGCCAAGGCCAAGGAAACCTGGAAAGCAATCTTCCGTGAGATGGAAATGCCGTTACCCGAGAATCAGGGCCATGGCACCCTTTTATTCAATGCGAATTTGTTTCCGAAAAATTGAGAGAGATGCCACAGTCTACGTACTCTTCCTCTGCTGCTGCTGCTGCTGCTGCTGATGATGATACATTATTTGACTCGCCAGACCCTCGTAAAGCCCACGGCCCAAACAGGCAAAGGCCAGGGACTCCATCACTTCCAGGTCGATTCCAAAACGGCACTCGAGACAAATCTGTCACACTTACATTCGTTCCTCCGCGCTCGCCACCCAAGCACCATTTATAAGAAATGGGGAAATTCTTTGCTCTCTGATCGGATGCGCTAGACCCCGAGCTTTCGCACCCCACAGCAAGACTGGGCGAGGCTGGGCGGGACGAGGCCAAGCCGTCGACTTCCATCTCGTGTGTTTTGAACCATCCTCCCCCGCCGCGTCCTGGCCATTCTGACAAAGGCACTAGAGACTGTAGATTGCCTCCCTCACTATGAATTGCGTCAGGAGGTTTGGCTGCTCAGCTAGGGGACCCCCGTGGCCTCCTGGTCTAAAACATAAGACGACCAGGGGTGTGTTGGGAGACGATTATGCTGGATATAACATGTCTCGAGTTCCCATGCGTAGCTGTCGTGCTCTTTTTACTCTGCAGTATCCGCGTTCCGCTCTTTTCTGAAGGTCTCCTTCTTTTGGTGTTGGGCTAACGTCGTCTCTCCTTTATTATTATTATTTTTATTTCGGGTTACCCTTTCTATTACCAACTAGGAGCAGGTCCTCTTACTCGTGTCAGCCAGTTGTCCTTTGATAGGACTCAAGAATTACGAGAGCAGCTCACGAGCTTGAACATCCGGCCTTGTCACATCTGCGATTTTTTGTACAAGTTGAATAATTACACATACGTCAACAAAATGAAGTTCTCAACGACCATCTTCACGGCACTGGCCCCTTTGGCCATGGCCCGACGAGTCGCCAATGTCTTCCCCCCACCAGCTGGAATCGTCGGTCGAAATGCCGAGACTGAACCCAGCGAGAGTGGCGTCGAAGTCCTCCAGGGCAAGCAGGGAGAAGGTATCACTGCCAACTCCCGCGCCGAGGTGATTGTCATCTGGCTCAACCCGGGTAACGGCGCTTCCAAGACCACCATCAATGAGCAAGTCACTGTCACCAGGACGGTTACCGCTGGCGCTGGCGGCGAAGCAACCAAAGCTCCTGGAGGGAATGGCACCGGTTCTGCCCCCGGCGCGGCAGCCACCCACACCGTCAAGGTTGGCGGCGAGGGCCTGACTTACAAGCCGGACCAGCTGCACAACGTGCCTATTGGTGATGTGGTTCTTTTCGATTTCATGGCCCAGAACCACACGGTCACTCAGTCGACTTTCGATGCCCCTTGCAAGGCCATGGCTGGTGGTATGGACTCTGGCTTCCTTGCCAACCCTAACAATACCGTTTCACCACCACCTCAGGTTGCTATGCAGGTCATGACAGACAAGCCTATTTGTAAGTGGAGACAGAACCACCCGTCCGTTATATACTTCTGCGGAACGTTAGAAAGATTAACAGCAACAAGGGCTTTACTGCGCACAAAAGGGCCACTGTGGCAAGGGCATGGTCCTCTCCATCAACCCTTCTACCGAAAAGACGCACGCCATGTTCCAAGGGATGGCCATTGCTCAGAACGGCACTGGCTCGGCTAGTCCCATCACCGGCGGACAGCCGGGCGGCACTTCTCCTCCCTCTGCTCCCGGCGGTGTTGGCGGCAACTCCACCGGCGGCGCTGGCGGCTCTGGCGCTACTCCTGGCAAGGGGACTGTCGGTCCTGATGGATCTTGCCAGTGTGTTGTTTCTTGCAGCAATGATGCATTCCCTGCTGCTGCTCAAGGCGTCGGCGCATTTGGCGGAATGAGTGGTTAGTTGAGAGAGTCCACCCCCATTTTAGCCCTTGAAAAGAGTCATCTGCGATTGCTGACTGTAATCACCAGGCTCTCTTTCCGTCGAGATGGGCTCCGTCAAATGAGTCTGCGCACATTTGCGGGATCTCCACGTCGTCGGGTAGCATTCTGGCGCATGAATCGATGCAAATAGAGTATTCAACAACACGCCCGGCTGCTTCGAACCCCCTGCGTCGTTGGGAGTAATGGGTAAGAGCATATGTTACCAAACATATGGCCGGTTCGTGGTTTTCTTTTTTTTTTTCCCTTTCGGAAGAGGTGAACGCAGACATAATGGGAAGCGATATTTGGGGCCTCCACCGGCCCTTTCTTGTGTACAAGTTGACTGCCTCATATGGGAAGTCCAACGTTCTTGATGAACAAAGGCAGAGATGGATTTAGTATAGAGAACCATATTTTCCAAAGCATTTTTTTACCTCTTTTCTCTTTACTCTTCTCCATGCCCCACCGTGCAGGTATAGCAGATTAAAAAAAGGTCCGTCATCATGTAACTTGACCAAGAAGGAGCGGCCTCGAGGTGGAATCCAAGACAAGACCATGCTAGTATTTGCGCATCTGAAGAGTTAAAAAGCACGTAAAACGTCATTAGGACGTTGACGGCGGAAAGGTCAGTTTATTAAGCGCCTAATACAAGAGATCCCAAAGCGCCAACATCAAAAAGTCATACGCCCTTATTCGCCATTGCTATCCTAGAATGAGCTGCCCTCCCGATCTGTGTACGCCGTAGATTCTGGCCGTCGAGTCATTGTATTCGTGTCACTTTTCGTACGTCGGGACAATGGGAGTCGACGGTGGTGAGTGTTTCGACCAAGGGTCGTCGTTTTATTTCTTGCCGCCGGCTTCGGCCTTTCTGGCCTCGGCTGAACCACGACCAAATTGTCAGTATTCCCTCCCCCCCAAAAACATACTACACAACCATGGGAGATGGAGAGAACGGGAGAACGATATGGCACGGGGGGATGCGGGGTCGTACCAGCCGCCTGCTTCTGGCGCATAATCTCAGCAGCAGTCTCTTTGGCTCGCTGCATCTCGGTGCCAGTCATGGTGTTGGCCTTCTTCTATAGCAGCCGACCTGTCAGTGTTCAGACTCGAGGGAGGAATGCGAAGGGCAGCTGAGAAGGCGCGCCCAAGGCGCAGTAGCAGGCCCGTGGCCGGGCAAAGGTAGACGTACCTGAGCGGCCTGTTTCTTCAGGTTGGCCTCGCGGGCCTTGTCGCGCTGATTCCCACGGGCCATGGTTGGTGTTGTGTCTTTTTCTCTTCCCTTTTTTTTTTCCTTTTGCCGCAAAGCGCGGGATGCCTGGATGGAGCTACTCGGAAGCGGGCGGGCGGGATAGCAAAAACGTGGAGGAATAAATGAGCGGTTGGGCGACGGTGGAAGATAGAAGGGAGATAAGAGGGTCGTTGGATGGCGGGGGGATTGCACTGTATCGACCCGGTAGAGTCTGGTCTGGTGTAGATGGCCGGCCGGTAGGCACCAGACTTGAGGGTTCTCGGCCTCAAAGGGAGCCAATCAGGTGTTGTGGGTCTCTGTCGAGACCATCAGACTGCACATGTGTTGTGCCAGCTTCAGGCACAGCGCCGTCAGCGGTTCGATGAGGCCTGAGCGGCGGCGGCCTGGTGGAACAGTGAAGCGCGGAGGATAATCATCTTTCTATTTTTAATTTCCTTTCCTTGCCGTTCCCTCTTTATTTTTTCTCGTTTGGCGCGCTTTTATTTCATGCATGGGCTGGGAGGCTACTCTGAAAGGTGGCCGCAAAGGGGATCATGTTCATGGTGTGTTGGACGAAGCCTTGCATATACGTACCTACAGGCTACGAGGCAGTAAACAGATGGACATCTATCGACCGCACAGTGCAGCGGCATTTTTCTTTGCCGCCTGTTTGACATCTAGGAGCCACAAAGGCCCATCTGTAACTCCGTAGATCATGGCTGAATGGGAATGTGGGTGTGCACTTACTACACACAAACCGCTGGCACTGGGCAACAGGCCATTTCGTCCCCGACACAAAGAGGTAGCCATACGCTAAAATACGAGCATCTTGTCACCTTTGGGCCAGACATGATAGAAAGTGAAGGGGAAAAAAAGGACATGCCGTTATCAAGGCCCAACGTTCGCATTGCCCCGTCCTGCATCAGTAGGCGCCCTTTCTCTCGGCACGTCTGTGGGCATAAAGAGTCTCTCTGGCCGTGGCCAGACCCGCCGCCTGAGGTTTGAAACCGTTGATCGATTCGGCTGCTCTTGGCCAATCGAATCTCGACGTTGAAACTATGCGCCGGCGTCTGATGTCTGATGCATTCTTTGTCCTTTGACTCTACATGTGATTCATTGGATCCCGTCCATAGCGCTCTTCACTCTCTGAACCAGCAGAACCCAAGTTGTTGTCTTCCCGCAGCTGCCAACGCAAGCCTGCCCGCCGTGATACTTTTTGGCCTCTTGCTCCATGGCGACCCATCCCGTCGACCATGAAACATGATGCTGACCATGCTCCGCCTCCCGCCGTTCATACGGCTTGCTCCTGGCCTTTGGATGGTTGGATCTCATGAGCCTGAAATCTGCATGTCCTGCGCCGGGGAGCGCTGGTGAGGTCCCTGACCACGCCAATGATGCCCATCTCGCAAAACCGCCGTGAGATATCGTTTGCGCTTCTCCATCAAACACGGTTTTCTGACATGGGGGGACAAGGAGAATTCCGTTGGTGGTTTGCTCTTGTCCCTGAATGCTGATGCCGCATGATTGTTCTGTGACTGTTCATGGTTGTGCGAGGCTCTGACTTATTAAAGACGCAGCTGGACCTGATTCTCTGTTCACTTTCGCCCTCTCTTCTCTATTGAACATCCTAGACAATGGTGCCTCGCTAGTGAACAATTATCACTTTTCCTTTCTCCTTTGTTGAGTTTTGATATTTCATCCTTACGCATTCCTTATTCTTCACCATCTTCCCGAACGCCCTTTTTGCGCCATTCCTTATACCTCATCCTCATTTCCCGTGTCTAGACACCACCACGAGGCTGGTTCCTCCGAATTTCGAATTTTACTGCATTGCCATATCGGTTCCTAATTTTGCTGCAAACTACATGTCCTTTCGACCTACCGTGTAGGCACACACATCTTTGCAGCCTCGGCCAGACTTGTCGTCTCATTTCCTCCTTAGTATTGCGAAATAATATTTCATAAGACTGTATGGACTAACCGCTTCTCAAGCCACATTGAGTCGAGGTTTACTTTTGCTTACGTCCTTTTCCACATAGCATCGTACTTCTGATCCAAGGCCAGCCAAAATGTGGTCCAGAATCGTCAAAATCTTCTGCCCTGCCGCCGCCGACGCGGGCGACAACGCCGTGGGAATGATTGTTCTGCAAATCCTTCGCCTTTGCACCGTCGTCACTCTCGCCACAATGGGTGTAGCGTACTGGGTTTTTATCCTCAACGTGGAAAAATCCCGAGCCTACTTTGCGTTTGAGTGCGCCTCACTCTTCTTCAACTCCATCATCTGCTTCATCCTCCTTCTGTCCGAGTTCCCCGTGTTGAAATCAATTAAAGGTTACTTCCTATCATCTTGGCCAGTCCTGTCCGACATGCACGGCGTAGCATGGCTGGGAGGTATTATGCTCCTGCTGGGGTGCAACATCTTCGGTAACCTCAACAGGCCGGCCCAGGATGCCGAGAAACTCGCGCCCCCTCTTGTCAAGCTTACCCTTGCGGCTGGCGTTCTTGCCTTCATCTTTGGCGTTCTGAACATTGTGTGCTCCTTTGTGTGGCGAAATGGAAAACAAGGCATTACCTCTCGCGATGTCCGTGCCAACGGCGCCCTGGCCAGAGGCCGTCGACATTCTCTACCAGACTACGCCTCCGGTTCCATGTCCGGTTGCGAAAAACAAGACGCAAAAACCGTGGCCAGCAGCTACTGGGATAAGGCCAGGAATATGGTTAAGAAAAAGGGGTCCGCCCGGCCTGCCATCAGCGGCCCCGTCGTCGATGTTGAAAGCGGTCTCGGTGAAAAGGCTCGATTTAGTCCCGTCGCCCCTGGGATTCAACGACCTGACACAGCCATGCACCCGATCAACTTGAACACAAACTCTGGGAGCAGCAGTCGATATTCCGATCCCGACTTGAATCGCTTCTGAGGATTGAATGAGTGCCTTTGTACACTAAGACAAAGGACGTCAGAATTGGCGTTGGAGGCGTCACTAACTAGCCTTTGGTTCATTTGTCGTTTCTCTTTGAAGCACTATACCCCAGACTCTCAGGAGTCTGGCTAGTTAATTGTTTCCCCATTGTTTTCTGCAAGCTAGATATAGACGAGTAATTGCAACATAGAAAAATCTTCCCTGTGACCTGTAAAGAAGAGGACAAGTGTGGTCCAACGTGAACGTGACTCCTGATTCGTTGATGGTCGTCCAAGCCTTGATGTCCTTTGTTGTCATCTTGTGTTTGCTCCTCAAATCAAACAAGGTGGATGATGGCGCACGAGTGAAGAAGCCTGGTTGTATGACTGACGTCCGGTTCTGCGCCATTGAGCCTAAACTGATTTGGCTCGACGCCGTGACACGTGACCCGTGCCTCATGGCCAAAAGGGCGACGACCAAAAGCCCTTTGTTTCAATTGAACTGCCCTTGAACAAGCTATCCTCAACTTCAACACAAATCGACCTCGCCATGCGTGTGGACAAAGCGACCCGTTGGCACCCTTAAATAACGACATACGTCTCCATATTCTGCTTAGCGCACCCTGTAACTGATTTTGCCTGATTGTCCCGTGGCTGCACTTCGCCCGTCCACTACCGCGATTCTCCAGACAACTACTTGCCGTTCGTCTTGGACCGCTGCATGAGCAACAAACGATTCTGAAGGTCCTGGATACAAATTCTGTCAGTAAAATCTCTCCTTAGGGAGGCACTTGCAGTGTTTAGCATCCTCTGAAGTATGCCCGATTGCGATATATCTGTCTGTGGTACTTGAAAGGTCGCACCAGGTCAGGCAGGCGACCGAGTGTTGTTGGCAAGGGTGGATGCACCCAGGAGGGAATCTCTGGATATAAACTTTACCATCTTAGAAATATTCCCCCGTGCTTGGTTCCTTGCCCTGTCTTTTGTTTCCTATCCCTGGGTCCAAGTACGCTGCGCGGTACGGCGGCTTGGTCCAGGTCTGAGAACGACATTGCCACGGTCCAGTTTGATTGCACCAATAGGCAGATAAAGGGTGAAGAACAGTTGGTAATTAGTTAAGATCTCTTCAATTCAGCTTCAGTCATGTCGGAGGCCGTCGAGGTTGCGGAGGACTACCGCCATGCTCTGGAAGATCTCTCTTCCAACATGAGGTTCGAGATTAGCAACTTGACCGTGATTGCGAGAGAGAATACGGAACACGCCCTGGCCATTGCCGAGGTTCTTCAGCAACATATTTTGAAGGTAACAAATCTACACATGAATCAAACGACGTGCCGTGTTGAATTGTATAACTAACCCACCGTTAGGCACCCCCGACGAAAAAATTGCCCGCCCTCTACGTGCTCGACTCTATTGTGAAGAATGTCGGCACGCCATACACATTGTACTTTGGTCGGAATCTATTCAAAACATTTATGGAATCATACGCCGTTGTCGATAACAACGTACGGAGGAAGATGGAAGAAATGCTCAAGACTTGGAAGGATCCTGTTCCTGGATCTATGGATACGCGCCCTGTCTTCTCGCATGAACTGGTTCGACCAATAGAGAATGCCCTAATGAAGGCTAGAGCTGCGACGATGCCGCAGCCGGGAGCCATCCCTGGGCGACCGCGCTCTGCTATGATACCTCACCGGAATACTCCTACGCCTCCGGGCATGCGAGGGCAACCTGGGGGTCCGGCTGGCCCGTATCCTCCGCAGCAATATGGCTATCCCAATGGCGGCAGACCCGGCGAGGCGCCATACCCTGGCCAACACCAGCAGGTAAGTAGCCTTCTGCCTCCATTCTACACAAACTATTTGTTACTGACTATGCACTGTCTAGTTCCCCCCAAGCTCCTCAACTCCTCAACCACATGGCTCTATACCGGCCTCTTTCCAACCGCCCCTTTCCGGACCATATGGGTCTGTAGGGGCGGGGACACTGGCTGGAATAAGTGTAGAAACGTTGAGCAATGACATTCAGAATTTGATTGTTGCCATGAGGGCAGAGTTCGCACAGAACCCAAATGATAATAGTGTTCAAAACAGACTAAAAGCCCTGCTCGATCTTCAAGGCGTTGTGCGCAATACTAGTTTGCCACCTGATCAGCTGGAGCTTATTAAAAACAAAGTAACTGAACTTGCTGCCGTGACGATGAAGGCAACGCCATCCCAGAACTCGACGCCAGTTCCTGGGTATGTGCCCCCTCAAAGCCACCCACCTTCTCATCCTGCGCCTGTAACTCCAGTCCCAGCCTCGGTGCCTGAGAAGAAGCCTCAAGTAACGCTCGATTCTCTCCTGGGACCAGGAGCAATGGCAGCACTAATGGCTAGGCAGGCGGCAGTATCACAGAATGCCACTCCTACGCCCCCATTTCCTAATGCTCCCATTCGATCGCCGCCTCTGACCCATGCAGAAACACCGAAGCCTCCTCCTCAGAATCCGATGTCCTTGCTGGAACAGCTTCGTCAAGCGGGTATGATACCGTCTGCTACACCTCCAAGTAGTGGTGCACCAGTTGTCGCCACGCCTCCTCCTCCGCCGCCGCCTCCGTCAATATTACCTCCGAACATTTCCAGCATATTGGCTTCGGCAAAGGCAGCAGCCAGCCAACAGGGACTTGATGGTCTCAATGGCTCTGTCCTGGACTCGACGTCATTAAAACAACAGTACGTAATTCCTGCAATGGCACAATTCCCCCCTCTTTTTGCATCCCATGACATCTAACAAACTATAGATTCCGCCCCGGTGCTATTGCTGCTCTCTACGATAATCTCGGTCCGCCTTGCTCGCAATGCGGACGACGATTCAGGACCGATGAGGAGGGAAAGCGGAAGAAGATGGCTCACATGGACTGGCATTTTCGTGTTCACCAGAGAACAACAGAAGCCGAGAAGAGGGGCACGCACCGAAGTTGGTACGTGGATTATCAGGTATGTTTGAAGGAATAGCTCGAGTGATGTTGCGATGGAAATTACTAAGACGAATCTAGGATTGGCTTCGCTCTCGCGAGGCAGTAGACTCGGACCATATCCCAGCACCTGACGACGGTGCTGGGCAAGCATCAGAAGCGAACAAGGGACCCAAGTATATCCCCGTGCCGGATCCTGCCAGCGGCATCAACAATGTATGCCCAATCTGCCAGGAGCGGTTCGAAAATAAGTGGCTCGACACGGCCCAAGAATGGGTCTGGCTGGACGCGGTCCTCGTGGGCAACCGAGCATACCATGCGTCGTGCCACGCTGAAGCCACGAGAGATCGCGAAGGCACTCCTGGTCCCTCCCGGCGAACACCCGAGCCTGTTTTGGGCAAGAGGAAGGCCGAAAACACCATTTCGTCACCGAAAATTCGGACTTTGAAAACGGCAATGTAAAGCCAGCGAATAGTGTATATAGAATCTATGGGCAGGAGGCAATTCTCGCGGGAATATCGAGGCCACTGAGTGATTAGTTGCGTGGAGGAAGCTGTAGTACGACTAGCATGCATGAGATACGGCGTTTTGGGTGTACTTGATGGAGTTTTATGCCACAAGTTTTAACTTGACAGGGCTGACGACCATACGTTTTGGGAGGCGGTAGTGATGCATGGGTTGACAACGGGAGGCGATGGGTAGTAGCATACTCTTACAGATTCCGACTTTGGAAATACAACCCAGTTTTATCTCATCCGCTGTGCAGCTTGGAGGCTTTGCGTACCTGGATGCCTGGGCACATGGAATCTTACCACACAATGATAAGAGGTCGATTTGTGGTGGCATGTACGGGTTAGGAGAGTCGTACTGGATGCCGAGATGGTTCTTAGCCACGGCTACTCCATGAGCATCCGCATCAGAAATGCAGATTGAAGAAAAAAAAAAGTTGATAAAATAATAATCGTAATGATGATAATAATAGGATTGTGCCTCGAGTCTTGTTTGATGTTGCATGCCCAATGTGATAACCCTGGCCCCGCTAATGTATGTAACTATGTCCCTTGTAGCTGAGCACCACCAGGTCACCGGACAGCGCGTCACAGCACTTAAACTCGCATGTGCGATTGACGTCGCGTCTTCGCGCTTTTTGTCCAAATAAATCTGCAAACCAACTACACCAGACCATTGCCACCAAGCATATCAGCACCGCATCAGCCCATACCGCTCGAACCAGAGCCTATGGACCATGGCAGTCGACTGTCCCATATGCAACAAACCCGTCAAATCGTCCGAAATCAACAGCCACATCGACTCTGGCTGCACAAGCTTCATCGCCGACAAGGACCCTTCGCCACCTACGTCGCAGCAAAGCGGCACTTCTCATACCCCCTCCCAGCAGAAGCGCAGTGCGTCGAGCTTCTTTTCGACGCCCGCACCGAAACGAATACACTCCGATGGCAAGGCATTGGCCCCCCTTGTGAACGGGACGTTCTCACCCGTCATTGGGAAGAAGCGTAGCTTCGAGGAAGGACCCGGTGCTGAGAACGAGGGTTCCGGCCCCTCAGCTGCCGACCAGAAGACCAAGGAAAATGGCGTGGTAAACGGACATGGGGAAGACGGGCAGGCTGCAAAGAGGGCCAAGACGCAACGCTCAGCCCCTCTGGCCGAGAGGATGCGACCCACGACGCTCGACGATGTGTGCGGCCAGGATCTTGTAGGGCCCAACGGCGTACTACGAGGCCTCATAGAGACAAACCGTGTTCCGTCAATGATACTCTGGGGCGCGTCGGGCACTGGCAAGACCACCATCGCGAGATGTATAGCCCACATGGTCGGGAGTCGGTTCGTCGAGCTCAACGCCACGAGCACGGGCGTGTCCGAGTGCAAGAAGCTCTTCCAGGAAGCCGCCAGTGAACTGAGTCTCACGGGCCGCAGGACAATCATATTCTGCGACGAGATACATCGTTTCAACAAGGCGCAGCAAGATGTGTTTCTCAAGCCGGTCGAGGCAGGGACGGTCACCCTGATAGGGGCGACTACGGAAAACCCGTCGTTCAAAGTCGCCAGCGCGCTGTTATCCCGGTGCCGGACATTTACACTTCGGTCGCTCACGGTAGAAGACATTATGGGTATTCTGAAGAGAGCCAGAGCGGCGGAGGAAGCGGTCTACCCGCCAACGCCGCTGATAGACGAGGAAATGATGGGCTACTTGGCCAGGTTCAGCGACGGAGATGCGAGAACAGCGCTGAACCTGCTGGAGGTGGCGCTGTCGCTGACGACGCGCGAGGGCATCACCAAGGAAGACATCAAGTCGTCGCTGACCAAGACGCTCGTGTACGACAGGGGAGGCGACCAGCATTACGATTCCATCTCGGCCTTTCACAAGTCGGTACGGGGCAACGATGCCGACGCAGCATTGTATTACCTGGCGAGAATGCTACAATCCGGCGAAGACCCCCTCTTCATCGCCCGCCGCATGGTCGTCATTGCCTCGGAAGACGTCGGTCTGGCAGACAACACCCTCCTGCCCCTCGCGACGGCGACATTCACGGCCACACAGCAAATCGGCATGCCGGAGGCTAGGATCCCGCTGGCGCACTGCGCCATTGCGCTGTCCCTGGCGCCAAAGAGCACGCGTGCATACCGGGCGCTGAATAATGCCTACGCGGCATTGCGCGAGCCGGGTGTTGCCAGTCTCCCCGTGCCGCTGCACTTGCGGAACGCGCCCACGCGACTTATGCGGGACATGGGATACGGCGCCGAGTACAAGTATCCTCCCAATTACCGCGATGGCAAGGTTCGCCAGACCTATTTCCCAGACGAGCTCATCGGCCGGAGGTTCCTCGAGGAGAGACACCTGGGCACCGAGGTTGACCCTGATTTGGTGATGGGAGAAGACTGAGTAGGTTGGTCGTTGTGCATAAAACGGGATAGCATACCATAGGTTTCTGGATCACTCGGCATAGTGACGTGTGCATAGCGTTGGGCTACTGTGTTTGGAAAATACGGGACATCGGATCACGACATGTCGGGCGTGCAATGTATTCTACAGGAAGAAGGGGTCAAGACAAAAAAGTAAATACACATGGACGAATTGTCTACATCATACGGTAAAGCACTCAACAAGCCGTGAACCCGCGTCACGAGTCCCCCAAGCCCCTTCCCAATCGTCACTTTCTCCAGAGAGCCTCGTTGAGCCCTCGTCTGCCTTGTTATTCATCCTCGTTCCTCAGTACAGAGTAGGCGAGTGTCCTCGACATTACCAGTTTCCAAATTTAGCACGGTACCAATACCAGCCGTCCCCCGCCCATTCTTGGCCCGTAATAGGAAGCGATCAAGCAGATGGCTATTCTGTCTCGTCAGCCCCTGCCAGGCAGGCTGAAGAGCTGGCTCAAGGCCATTTTGCCTTCGGTGGAATGATACAAGCCACGCAAATGTCAATCACCTGAAAACCCCCACCGATGAGATAGCAGCTTAAACAAGTCAGCGTGTAGCCTCGCTCCTCTCCCTTTCTTCGAATTCAACAGTCAATGCGCCATGGTGAAAGCTGCCAACAGCTGTTTTCCCATTGATATCCACCCCAAAGGCGGCTACAAATCATTTGGCAGGGGTGGCAACCTTCGACGTCCTGAAGCAACTGTCATCCTGTAACATAAAACCTGCGGACTGATAAGCAGCAAATACCATGGAGCGCCGACTGCGCCGATGCGAGAGAGTATGTAACAGACGCCTCTCCGCGCCGTCGTGTCTCGACATCACGATCCACTCGACAAAGCAGGGATACTGCACACGCTGAATATACTCTCTTGGCAGAGAATGGTTTGACCGCAAAAACAAGGTATCCAGTACACCAACGCAGAAAACATGCATTATGCAGTAAAAGAAATAGCGATAGGAGCCGTATAGAGCCACATGGTCTCTGGTCTATGTTCTGTAACATCATCGTACATGATCCCCCATGAATTTATTTATACAACTATAAACCCAGGGTATATGCCTGCTAGCCGTCGGTGGCTGTTAAATCAATGATTGACACGTCACTCCACCTAACGGCAGCTTTTCTTCTGCTGAGATTCGTATTTAATTCCATATTACGCTCTTCTTCATCCAATTCGACTTCCTCGAAAAAGCCGGAACCTGAAGCCCTTGCCCTAAAAAGCTTCTTCTTTGGTGATGACCCTGGTTCCCTAGAAGACGAACACCCCTGGCTAACTGCAGCCGTCTCCTCATCCGAGACTTGCTGAACAGGTGAGACGGACCGTGCTAGCGCTGATATTGATTCCAAGTCCGAGTCGTAATTTGTCCCCCCTTCCCCTTCCTTGTCCGTCAGTATTGCTCGCTTTTTGGTGGCTTTACTCATGGATTTACTGAGAAAAAGTTCCATAGAAGATTGCTTCAACGTCGAGCTGCTCATATTGGGCTCCTGATGTTGTCTTTGCCGTTGTAGTGGATTTCTCAGGCTCTTAGAGCAATCGCTCGCCTGAAGAATCGAGCGTATTGACTCGGGAACCTCTCTAGACTGTTGGAGTTTGGAAGCCGCGCTGTAAACTGAACCTGACAGGGAAGGAGATGTGGTAGGAGAACTAGATGCCGGCGCTGGGGGACTTGATGAAATATAGATCGCGTCTGGTTGCCTCCTGGGGGATCTAGGCATGACTGGTGAGCTGTCGATTACTTCAATGGTTGCCGTTGGTTTCGGACTCCTCGTAGGCGAGGACGAGGATTGCTTACTTATGCTCGGTGTGGCTTTGGGACGCGCAAGGCTCTTCAAGAGCGATGAGCTTGGCTCAGGAGCTTTGGAGGAGCCCTGGTTGCTAGCAAGGGCTGTCTTTGTGGCTGTGAAATACTTGTCAAGTGAGCCTCGAGGCATATCAGAGCCTTTGAGAGCTTTGGTTGCGCTAGTTTTTTTCCTTGTCTTTGTAGGAGATCGTCGGACAGCCTTGGCCTGTTCTTTCAATTGCCATTCTTGGAAAACGCCAGGGGCAGAATTTTTCACCAAACCTTCCAGCACCCAGGCGAGATCGGGTTTGGAAGTGTCAAACATTTTTGGTGCGTCAACGGTAGAGATGCCTTCAGGAGTGCCAAACTCCTCGTCGCTGTTCAGCGCCAATCCCATTCTGCCAGAATTGACAGTTTCGTCAACCTCCTTCGCCAAATCAATGGGAACAACTTCCTCAGGGATAAACGCCAACCGTAGTTCGGGTGTAGCATCTGTGCTAAAGTGTGTTCGTCGCCCAGAAATGCGTTTAACATGCTGGGCGGCGATTTGGGAATTGGCCAAGTTGCGAACAAGCATTGCCTGTCCCAGAACTCGAATAAACTTTACAGCCCCTATGCGGTAGTCCCAGTCGAAAGTCTCTCGCGTAAACTCGCGCAATGCGGTTAGATGAAGTACGTGCTTTTGTTCCATCATTTGACGAATAGCCTCAATATTGGATTCGGGAGACACTATTGGATGGGTGTAGTAGCGCAGAACTTCGATGTTGGGGAAGTCTTGTGGTATCTTCAACGCTTTGTGTTTCGTTTTAAAATAGCCTTTTTCGTTGGTTTGTAATTCATGCCGTAGAGAATTTCGCCATGCTTGTATACCGTCTGTATCAGATACCTTTAGGCGGCAAACTGATTTTCCAAAGCCAGCTTTGGCCGCCTCGCAGGCTACCTTTACACCACAACCGGGTATTCCGTCCGGAAGATAGTCACCTCCGCTCATCAATGCAACCAACACCATGCCCTCGCGATCAAGACCTAGGTCTCCCAATGCCATCTCATCAACGTCATATAGAGAAACGTGGGTTGGTGCTGTGGAAGTTCTCCCCTCAGATGACCAATTGCGGAGCGTTTTGGTGCATCCAAACATTATGGTATCAACATCTTCGCTAAGAACAGCATCGACTACTCCGTGTTGCTGGAGGAGGGCACATTCCGCTTCTCCTTCGCCGGGGGCATCATGGGTAGGAAATCCGAATAATCGTATGAGGTGTTTGGCCGCAGCCGCTGTAGCGCCGTCGCCTCGTCCTGATCGCTTGTTTCGTTTAAATACGGGCTTATTTGACCCATCAAACACAAAGATTGGTTGTATTGGGGTCCCGAGGAGTCGAACTAGGCGATAGAACAGAGTCCTCAACGCCGGATTAGTACCGCCTGGATAGGGTCAGTATGATGGACCATGACTATGCCAGACTATGTGTAATGACGCGGATATGCAGACCTTGTGCAGCCTGTGTCTGAAAGTGCCATATTGCAAAGTCGATAGCAATTCGATACGGTCGATTTGCCGACTCCAAGCTATCAGCGGCAAGCTTGGAGAGCGAGATCCGCTTGCCCGGACCGAGCTCTTTGTAAATGCTTCAGCCAGTTAGCTACGAGCAGGAATATAGGATTGAGGGGTATCGCATACCCTTTGATGCCCATTCCAGGCCGGCATTGTTCCCAAAATTGACACTTGATTGCGAGGCTGCAGCTGAAGATCGATTGACGGTCGAGGTGATTGATGAACTAAATGCCCCATGTCGCCTGAGCGACGCCTGCCGTTGTTGACTTTGTCGGTACGACGACGTTTGATAGGCCGACCCCAGAGGCCGCAAAGGCGGCAGGAAGCATCAGGGGTCTGTCTGTCAATGCAGCCCGCTTAGGTGCTCCGTACCCCAGTACGGAGTACCACATTATTCACTAAGTGCATATCGTCTGAGCCGGCGCTGGTTGGTCCGCACTTTTGGCGATGAACTTGGCCGTCTTTCAGCACCGAGTCGAATTCGAATTCTTTTTTGAAAATTGACCTGCATCCCCGGCCATGTCTTCTGGTGCAAGCACGACGCTTGCGCACAGGAGTGTGGCCACGATAAGGTCAGGGACATCACAAGCTCCGGCCAGTACATCAACACCTCACACCCCGCCAAGGACCGTCACATCCTCATTTGGGTCGCCATCAACGATCCGTGCAGAGGACGATTTTGTACTTGTCGAGATTGGTTCGCGTTATGTTCGAGCTGGCTTTGCAGGTGACTCCTTGCCTAAAGCCTGCCTGTCATGTGGACCAGGTCAGCAACGGCGAGTTGGTGATTTTCGAGCCTGGCAAGAACCAGCTTCGGGACCTTCAAGGAAATGGGCCGCCGATTACGAAATATGGCGTTATGACGTGCGCGATTTCGACTTGGGCTTGTTTCAAGATAAGCTAGACAGACTGTTACGAGAAGCATTTACAAGGTAGCGTGCAGTGATGACATCGCCATCGAACAAGTGCTCATTGCGTGTAACTAGGTTTCTACTCATTGACTCTAGGCCTAGACGACTTGGCCTTGTCCTGGATTCGGCTGTTCCACTTCCTCTTCTATCTTCTGTATTAGACACTCTATTCACCAACTTCCAAACCCCAATAATCTCTCTTATGTCGGCTCCCACAATGGTAGCTGTGGGAGCTGGTGTACGGTCAGCATTGATAGTGGACATGGGCTGGAAGGAAACTGCCGTAACCAGTGTTTACGAATACAGGGAAGTAAAAAGCTCGAGGACTGTCAGGGGTGGCAGGAGTCTTCATGATGCGCTATACAAACTGCTTCATGCCTTGATCCCTTCTGCCGGAGACGACGAATCAGAAGACAGAGCCGTTTCTTTTGAAGAATGCGAGGAAATATTGTGTCGACTAATGTGGTGTCGACCTTCGGCCTTCAAGTCGTCTCAGAGACAGTCCACGCAGTTGGACACAGTGGAGGAGCAGGACGAAAGCGAAGGAGAGTCAAATCAACCGAGCGGCATAGCCGAGGTGCCACTTCGGTCAACAAACCCTCCCTCGACTATCCACATACCCTTCAACAAGCTTGCTGATGTTTGCGACGATACTTTTTTCGACCCTTCAGCAGATCGAACCACCTTTGATGACCACGAACTGCCCCTCCACCTACTTGTATATCAACATCTGCTTCAGCTGCCTCTTGACGTCAGGGCAGTCTGCATGTCTCGAATCATTTTCACTGGGGGCTGTTCGAATATACTGGGTGTAAAGGAGAGAATCGTCGACGAGGTTACGAGTATTGTCGAACGAAGGGGTTGGGAGCCTGTGTTTGGCAAAGGCGTCGAGGCCTTGCGAAACGGCCGCAGAGCCCAACGCAAGGCTAGCCTCCAAAGGTCAAGCATCTCATCTGTTGGGACGTCAGAATCCGGCGGTGACGATTCTGACGGATTGCGGTCCGAGTCAGGAACTACAGATTCCCAAGAAGACCAAGTCGAGGCCAAGATTCTACGCAATAGGCCGATACGGCCCCAGGTGCAGGGTCAGCTGCGAGCAATTCACTCGTTGGGAGCTTGGGCTGGCGCCAGCTTGATGTGTCAGTTGAAAATTCCCGCCTTGGCCACTATAGACAGGGAGCTGTGGTTGCAGCAAGGCGCAAACGGAGCATCTCGTCCGTGTGATGTAGATTTCAAGAACCAGCAGCGGCAAAGTATGGGAACCATCAGAGGAAGTGGAGGCCATCACACAAACTGGACCCTCGGCGTTTGGGGTGCCTTGTAGCAGAAGTGATATGAGGCGAGGTAAGAAGAGGTGAGACGAGGTCATGTGGGCAGTAGGCGAGGGTGAAGGTGTACATTCAGAAGATACCACTTGATTTAAACGCATGAAGTGTACATGAATATGTATCGGCAAGCCTGCTTTAATAAATGAACAAGCATGCTCTGACAAGTCCATCAGTTTGCCCAGTTGGAATGTAGTACTAGTAGCTAGCAGCCTACATTTTATGCTGGTGGCGTCCCCCATTTCGGCTAATTGCATTAGACCGACCCCACCCCCCCCC